TCCAGATTCGACAACAACAGTACGTTCACTTTATCCACTAGCATCCATGTATACCATACTAACCAGATTGCCCCTTCATTTACTGCTCAGGTTCCGCGAAATGTGCGAAGACGGCCCACCAGTCAAAGCTCTGACCTTCCTTCAAACGCAAGTGTCCAGCGTCGTTGACCATTCCAACGTTCAGGAGACAGAAACGTTCCGTGCACTTCTCACGCATTTGCTTGTGCCACCTCCTCCTGCTCCAACTTCAGGGTCGCGGCCGTCAAGTTCCAGGACTTCCTCCTCCTCTTATTCCTCTTCTTCTTTAGGCTTGGGCTCTGCCGGTTCTCCTATCAAACGTGAAGACACGAGAGAGGGAAGTACTAGGCCTAGGAAGCGCTCAAGAGGCGAAACGGAGAGTATAGGAAGTTTTGAACGGGAAAGTGGAAGTGACAGAGGAAGCGGGGAGTGGACCAACGAGCTTCTTTCGGATAACATAGTCGCTGATGACGCTACTGTCTATCTGAGCGGGGGTGTGCAGCGGCTGAGAGAGATGAGAGATCCTTTGGAGGATGTTATCGTCAAGGGTGGGGCCGGTGCTTCGTCTACTTCTGGTGATGATGTGCAGCAAGAGCCTGGGAGGGATAACGACAAGTTGACTGGAGCGAGGTATGCTCAGCGCACGGAGGTGTTTGAGGGTATTCTGAAGTTTGTGGTGGACAATGAGAAGCAGCCTGAGGAGAGCTTATTGGATCTCGTGGAGGGTGATCGATGTCAGAGTGAAGGGATTTAGGATTTTGTAGTTCGGGGCCTTTCTTCTTTTGAGTGGATTGTATGTAATTCTAGGAATTTTTTTGGCATTGTGTAATCCTACCATTCCTTGACGTGCCCACTAACGATTTGCTTCGACGTACTCATTCTAACCAAGACCAGAACTTCAACAGAGAGGTACTTATTCACGATGGAAAGGCTATATTACTGTGTGCTGGAATGATGAAAGTGGAAAATGGCCCTCAAGCAAACGAATGTCGTTGATGTCAACTTCTGCAACGAAAGACAGTTACGTGTGCAGTTCCATCGGAAATTGACGAGCAACGAGCAGATATCGAGACAGCAACTGGTCAAAGGATATGGTCGAAAACAATCTCGCAGAATGACGTCGTCCATTGAGGGTTTGAACGATCGAGCAGCTCGTTGCGTTCTAATTCTTGAGGATGTTCCGTTAGAACCGCTGGCACGATTTAAGCACCTTTATGACGGAATTTATTCGTCTAAATTGATGGCCTTTCCAAACTTCGAATACAGTGCGACTTTGAGCTGCTTCATCTGCGTCTCGCATTCCTCAGCCTGAGTCGCGAGCACGGACACTCGGGCAGCTACAGATGCCTGATCCTTTTCTAGTCGCTTCAAAGCGCGTGGTTGAGACAAGTGTACGAATGCTTCCCCAACTTTATACCTGCAGGTTTATGAGAGATGGATCTGATTGAATCTGCAAGTAACGCTTACAAGATAGGCTCGGTCTCATCGGCGAGCTCCAATTCAGTAGAAAGGTCATCAAGAGCTTCTTTTTCTTGCTGTTAAGATCAGGATAAGCGATACAAAAATGCGTCAAAATCATGCGAAACGCGCCTTGAGTTCCGTCAACTTTTCTTCGATAATCCTGATCCTATTATTCAATTTCGAAAAAGTGTTGATTCGTTGCTGATCCTCTTCATTTGACCATCAGCCTTCATCCTGTCGGAGTGACTTGAAACAACAAACCCCAGGTGACCTCTGCAGCATCGTCATTCTCTTCTTCCTGTTCAAGCTGTGCCGAAGCAGATGAACATGATTATCTGCTGCAGTCAAAAGAGGGTGCTTGTGCTTACCATCCGCATGATGGAGGTTCGGGAAAGAGCAAGTGGTGATCGCGGCCCGAACACTTGATTCCGTTTCAGGGACCCTTTCCAAGACCAGCTGGAATTTAAATTACCGGCGTCATCACAGAGGTCGGAATCAACGACCTTTATGCCTTCCACCACCATCTCCAATGTCAGGAACACGGTACGGCACTATGGGCCCCTTGTTTTGACACTGGACAACTTAAAATCAGGTCTATTCTACTACGTTCTCCTGATATACGCCATCAAAGCCAAGCGACACCTTCGCGCAAGAGGCATAACTGAATCACTGAAAGACATTCAAAGATGGATCTCGCAGGTGCGTTAGATTGCCTGGCACTATTATGTGGCTAATGAATATTGTTGTTCTTAACAGCAAATTGTCCGTCTCGTGCTGCGCTTTCCATCCACACGTCAGAAAGTCACGTCGCAGATGGACAAGGCGAAGCTGGACATTGAGAACCGCCTTTTACCAAAGGGCGCAAACGTTACGCGTCACCTTTCTCTACCCTCCGAAGGCAAAACCTTGGAATGGATTCTACAAGAGATGGACAATATGGACACCGAAATGGGCGGACTAGCCGACTCTTGGAAGCAGGGCAAGCTTTCTGGCGCCGTCTACCGTAAGAATCTGCTTGTTCCACTGACGTTCTTATGGTTAACTTGAGACATAGATGGAGGAGACGACTTGTCCCAAATAATTGTTGCCGCATATGCCCGATACTGTGTTTCAAACCCTCTGCATCCCGAAGTCTTCCCCGCTATCCGAAAAATGGAGGCAGAAATTGTAGCAATGTGTCTGAAGATGTACCGCGGCCCCGAAGGTTCAGCAGGCGCAATGACTTCTGGCGGTACAGAAAGTATCATCATGGCTGTGAAGACGTACCGAGATTGGGCGAGGGACGTCAAGGGCATCAAAGAGCCAGAAATGTGTGGCTTTTAGCATCTGATTTTGCATTTGACTTTCTAACGACATGTAGGATTGTACCAGTTACGGCTCATGCTGCATTCGACAAGGGCGCCTCATACATGGGTATCAAGGTTAACACTATTCCTGTCAATTCTGCTACTAGGCAGGTCGACATCAAGCACGTCAAGCGCGCCATGTAAGTCGTCGAATATATACGGCCACACAAACTGCTTGCTGACTGAACCCTAAGCAACCCAAATACCATTATGGTGGGATTTTCCTGTTTCTTCTTTTCTCCTCAAGATATTCACCTTCAGTACTTCGCAGCTCGTCGGCTCATGCATCAATTTCCCAGACGGAAACCAAGAGGATATCGAGGCACTAGCTGCCCTAGCGAAGAAAAATAACATCGGCCTCCACGTGGACTGCTGCCTAGGCTCCTTCATCGTTCCATTCCTCGAGCCTTCTGGCCTAGCCAAAGGCGACAGCAAGGGACGTTACCGTCTGAAACCGTTTGATTTCTCCGTCGATGGCGTCACCAGCATCAGTTGTGATACTCATAAGGTACTTTTTTCGTCAATTATTGCTTGAGGTTCACAGTCTGAATGTTTCTTTTTATAGTACGGATTTGCGCCAAAGGTGAATATGGCTTGCTAGGGTGTTTACCATCGCACTGTGTGGCTGAACATATTCCACGTAGGGAACGTCGGTTATCATGTACCGCACTGCTGAACTGCGCCGATATCAATATTACGTGAACTCGACCTGGCCAGGCGGCGTTTACGCCAGCCCGAGCATATCTGGTTCCCGGTGCGTGTTCACTCCGGATTGCAAGTGGTGCATCCTAAATATTTTGTAGTCCAGGAGCCCTCATTGCAGGCTGTTGGGCTGTTATGCAACACGTGGGCACAGAGTGAGCACTTTCCAAGTCATCACTTAATGAAAAATCCATGACCACATCTTTCAGAGGCTACCTTAAATCATGCCGTGAAATTGTAACAGCAACTCGCGTCATCGCAGACGCCATAACAGACGACATTCCTGAGTTGTATGTCCTCGGTGACCCGCCTGCTTCCGTAGTAGCTTTCGGCAGCAAGCACCCTAATGTAGATCCACTGGAGGTGGGAGACGCGATGGGTAAGAGGGGGTGGCATTTGAATGGGCTGAGTTCACCCAAGAGTGTCCATATCGCTTTAACGGTGAGTAATACTTGATGTTTGAGTTTTGTAGATTGAAAATAGATGCTGATTGGAGGTTTTTCTTTCTGGGTTTATAGAAACTTACAGTGCCTCTTGTGGATCAGTTTATTGAGGACCTTAAAGACTCTGTACGTGAAGCTAAAGTCTCTCCAACGGGCAAAGGGTCCATGGTCGCTGTCTATGGTACGTTCTACATTTCCATTTCCTTGTATAAAATCACTGGATGTCTATCTATTATTTTCCATCATATCCAAATGTTTCAAATGATAGCTAACTCGTCTCATCTCTAGGTCTCGGAAATTCTAGTGCAGTGGGTCCCGAAATGGTTGGTCAGCTTGCATCTGCATTCTTGGATGCCATGTACAAGGCATAATCATGGAAAGCTGGGGCTCCGTGCACGTTCGATGGCATCTTTCGCACTTGTTAGAATATACACTGAGGACATTCTTATGCTCATTAAATACCTTCTTGGGCTACCTATTGATCATCGTGGATTTTTTATGTGTGATGCAGGTTTCATCCTTGCTAAGCTAACTTTTAAGATGCATGGCACTTTTATTCTTATGAACTGCCCAACTCCTTGATTTCGCAGGTCTCGTTGACGGTTCATACCTTGTATTCGATTGCTCGGCGAGGGTGAAGACACCATGCCTGTGAAGAGTACCAATGTCCATAAGCTAATCAAGTCCTCGTTCTCCTTCATCTGCAGGCTCAAGATACAAATGGCCTGGAATAATACCTTCCAGGATTTCTCCAGCCTCGTAAACTATAACTGGTAGTCCATAGCACTACTGTTACAGTCTTACAGAGACAAACAATTGCAAGGGCCAAGAACTGGTCTTAATCAAAATCCATAGCTCATTTCAAATTATAGAAAAAGTGGTTATCCTTATTCATTTCCTTCCATCTTTTTTCCGCCTTTTGCCACCATTTTTTGAGATCAGAACCTATAAAATGTCCGGAAAATTGGAAAAAACTGAGAAATCGGAAACTTTTACAGATTATATACATCTCCTTCTACACATAAAATAACCGACTTTAGCTCAGTTGGAAGAGCATCAGACTGTAATGTGTGACATAATCATCTGGGTGTCGCCTGTTCGAACCAGGCAAGTCGGATCTGCTTTTTATTGATCAAATTTTGATACAGGAGTTGAAGAATTCGTTGAATGGCAAAGGCATTGACCGAATACATACTACCACGAAAGGTGACTTAAAAATACAATCGAACTCTTCTTCATCATCAGCGTAGCCCTACTCCATTTGACTCAAGTGCGATCCTATTGGAGGATAAAAAGGATGAAAGCGGAAACGGAGGTAAGGATCCGTCTATTATTATTGAGGTTCTATTTTTAGTTCTTCCGTACATCGGAAGAGCGGTTCATTCACTCATGAATCAGAAACCATGCTCGCAACCTTCGTACACAATACTCGAAAGAAACACATAATAAAATCTGACATTGCGTACTTACGATTCCAAGGCCATGCCCGAGCAACCACGAGGGGTGCGATAAGTTGACATATGTAACTTGAACGCTCTTCCGTTCCATTTCAAAATAACAAAGGAGACTCACCTTTACATAGAAAGTCCAACATCGAACATGCAGTTAATTATATAGCTGTGCATGTCACAAAGCCTCATTCAGATTTAACTTGCGAGTTATGGAGAAGTTTCTCCGGACCGCGGCATAAAAATTGACAAGTGATGAACGTGCTGCCTCTTGGCAAACGGTATTGTAGCGATATCGTTGCGTCCTTCATGATAACACTCTGGTAGAAATTTTTAAAGGTATTGACTGTTGTTACCCAGCTTCAAGTTCAGCCAAGCAAGGTACCAACGTCAAGGCGTCTTTTGTCAAGGCTAAGGACGGGTCAATTTCGGAACTTTCAAAAAAACTTCTGGGACAGGCTGTGTGGTCTTTGACTCTTCTCTTCTTGGATTTTTCTTGGACGACAAGGTCCATTTTGATATGCAGGCGGGCTTTCATCCTTAATCTTGGGTCGACAAAGTCAGTCCGAGTCTGAGGTAATGTAATAATGTTGTCATAGCCTGAGGTTATTCTCGTACCCGGTCTAACTCGAATCTTGGAATGAGCGCCTAAATTGATGAACTGCCATCAGTGTCAAAAGACGTCCACTGGCAGGAATTGAATCTGATTTCATTTGATCTCATGAACGAGTTCGGCGATATAATCATTAGTAAGAGAAGGAGAAGTGAAGTTGACGCTTCACAGAGAGCTTGGATATTCTCTTTATCAGTTAGAGTGTCACGATATGCAGCTGGCGGGCTTTCATCCTTAAGCTTGGGTCGACAAAATCAGTCCGAGTTTGGGATAATGTAAGTAATACCTCTAATGTTGTCATAGCCTGAGGTTATTTTCGTACCCGGTCTAACTCGAATCTTGAAATGAGCGCCTAAATTGATGAACTGCCATCAGTGTCAAAAGACGTCCACTGGCAGGAATTGAATCTGATTTCATTTGATCTCATGAACGAGTTTTGTGATATAATCATTAGTAAGAGAAAGAGAAGTACTTATGTACGTACATCAGATTTAGAACAGAAAGATCTATAATCTAGAGTATATGGGCATGCATTAGGAACATTGTCGGTAAGTCCTTGGTTCAATGTATACTCTATTACTTCATCCGAGTCTACTCTATTAGTACCTCTCTATACTACTTTTATGACATACTCTATGTATGCAGCCGGTGTGGTCATTCAAATTGACGCCAGTACCGGTACCGTACCATGTTGCAACTGGATGTTTCTATCAATTATATAGACAGTCTAATGGGATATCATAACCAAACCAGGTACATACATGTTCTCGCTCACATGCTAGCATTCCGTCCTCCAAAGTTTTTAGACTTGGTCAGTCGAAGCGAAAAAAATTTTCAAAGAAATATAATCGGCTGAAGGAAGTCTGAGAGGGCTGAACCTGTGAAACTCATAAGATAACACCCAGGGATCTCTCGGTATATCTGTCATCCATTTATTAATCTACGCTCAGGGCGTGTATGGAACAGCACCTGGAATTTTGGATGCAGCTATATGGTAGGTGCAGATAATTAATGAAATGTAATTCAAGAGAAAAAACCGTGTGGAAGATATGTACATACTTACTCACAATACAGTATGAGGAGGAGTTCTACAAATCGAATAAAAATCGGTCCCATGTTTCCTTATTGACCGCCTCTCCTTTCCTTTTTCTTTTCTAGTCCACCTCCGCTTGATTCGTCGTATTTCCGCAGAGATCTTACTTAAATCCGCAGTCGGATTCATTTCATTTTCATTTTCGTTTTCATTTTGAGCGGCATGATACTACTTACACAGGCATGCTTGGCCGGGACTGGGGCTTTTGCCTGGTTGAAGGCTGAAACTTCAATACCGAGTGTGAAATAAAGCAGCTATGATGAATTGATGATGATGGATTTACTTGCTGGTTTATGGTTTACTAAGTTTTGAGGTTTTGACCTAGTCCGAGAACATCGTGAGCAAGGAATCTGGATGTGTTATGTTACCTTCGAATGAACTGCGTTTGAGGATCCGGATCTACCACCTGAAGTGTAGGTATAATTATACGAGTAATTATAATTATTTATCACTCTGGAATACGGCTGGAACGAAACTTGAGAGTGTATAGGCTGTGAGCAATGAGCTGCAGCAGGGCAACATGATATGCTTTAGGCCCTTTGCTTTGGTTTTGAGACCACACTCTGGGACAGAACTGGGTCAGAACTGCTTCTAAGCTTAAGACTTGACGAGCTAGGCTTTATGTACACCAAGCAGAGCTCCTGGCGGGGTTTCTTTCACCGCCTTGAACCCAGACTACAGGGACCCAGCCTCAGAACCCAGGACGAATTCAGTTCAGACTCTTCAGAACAACATTATTATACATATCGCCTTGCGCGCAAATAACGGTGGGAAGGAGGAAACGAACACGTATATGTATTGAAGGATAGATGGAAGGATGGATGATATGAATGTGGGAGAAAGACGCAGGTATCGCAGGCGACGAAGGAAAGTGCAGAGGGTGTGTGTGTGGCCTCGAGGTCAATATACGAATCCGTGTGTACCCGGTCGACGATGACGACGTCACGACCCCCTCTCCCTCCCCTGCGAGTTCCGGCTTTTAGACAGGAGAGTGTTTCGAGTTTGAGTGGACAATTAGGTCGTTTGAGATTGGAATGTTGAGAGGGACTATCCGTTCGTTGTATGTACAGGTTGTAGAGAGGCGTTCACACAAACGGCAGCGTCCGTACAGACGCGTGATGTCATGGTAAAGTCCATGCTGGTGTGGCACTGCCGGTTCAGCGCTTACCACGGGACTTGTTTGATCCTATCGGCATTCATAGCAGATTGAATGGTGTGGAGAGCTCCCAGAACATGAGGTGAGATTCAGAATTAGAATTTCAGATGTTGAAGAGGACCGGGTGTTGGAGAGAGAGTAGTAACCGGACAGACTTGAACGAGATTTGCAGGGGTACTGGCTAGGACTAGGCCAGCAGGCGTCAATCGGAACAACAGCAAAGTAAGACGAGGAAAGCGAGGCCGAAAAGGGAGTGATCGGAGGCTCGCTCCGTGTGTCCCGTGCAGATTTGATCTCCGATGGATCTGTGCCGCGGCTCCTTTTGGTTGGGCTCACCTTTTCCCGTCGTTCCGCTATGGCTGCTGTCCCTGCTTTATCTACTCTCCTCTCTGACTCCCTACTTTCTACACACCGCAACCACAGGGACAGGCCCGGGTTGCACTGCACAGTGAGCGCCCGCTTTCCGTTTTGCTTCCGAGACTTGTAGCTGGTGTTGATGTCTGTTACTCAAGGAAACGGCGCAGGCATATTGTATCTCCCCCGCCCGGCATATCATATTATCTCATATAAGTCGATCCACTTCACACCGTTTGTTGTTGTGAACGACTTCCTTTCCATACCACCGAGTTTCTCGAACCATTTCTGCATACCAGGGGCCACACCCTTGAATACGACAATACCCACATTACCATTGTACACCCTCGAAATCGAGTCGGGCCCTATCCCTGTCCATATTCTGCTGTCAGTTCTTTTCTTCTTGGGGACCACCTGCCAGGTCATCTAATTGTGCGACAAGAATAGACAGACACTGGAACGAATTCGGTGCATTCCCTCAGCGACCGACTGACTGAGAGACGACCCAGTCTGGAAGAAGCATACGGCTCTTTACATCCCCCTTGTGAAACGTAGTAACAGCACAGAAAGGCGCACAATTGTTTCGGACCAGCTCATATCGTTGAGCTATCATCATCATCGCCTTATCTCTTTTTCAAAGGGACCGAACCGAATCGTAAGTAAGCCCTTTCCTATGTCAACGTTCAATGGCCAACATTGCACGTTGATCCCTAAATTGCTTCCATCTTCGAGATTCTGATATGTATCCCCTTGCAGTTTCTATCCATCAACCAATCGAGATTTGATTCGAAAGAAGAAACATAGGTGCTTAATATAATACCCAACACCGATCCGTGACAAAAATGCCGTCTTCCAGCAATACCAACGCACAGCAGCTTTCGACTTCCGACCTCCCTCCTTTGTATACTACGGGCACGGGCAGCAGCAGTGGCAGCAGCAGTGGCCCACACCAAAGCCAGGGCCAATCACATACCCAGCCGCCTTTTACTCCCCTACCAACCTGGAGCATAACCAGGACACCCCGGTGCTCATTGGTCGCCATACGAGAGCACCGTAAACCTTTCCCAACAACAGCCGCATCCCGAGCAACACCACGGTCGATTCCACATGGGGCTCACCGGCACCGACCACCACCACCATAAAGATAAACCGTCGCTGTCGATTATCCTCGACAAGCCTTCCTTACCCTCAAAGGGACAGGACCGGATGTGGAGCCGACGACGCTCAGTGGGCATGTGTTGTTGTTCTTGACGGAAGCGACGGCGTTGAAAGAGTTGACGCTGCAGTTCCGCGGCAAGGCAAGAATCCCCATGCCGCCAACGAGTCGTAAGTCGCGTTTCTCCTTGACTTTCTATCCACTCATTGACATCCTGAAAAAAAAAGGCTCATCAACAGCGCGACTTCCATAACCTACGTCGTCTGCAACCACGACTGGTCCTTCCTCGAATCCACC